ACTCCAAGTTCAAGCCTGGGAGCCTACAACCAGTAGCCAAAGTCTGTAATACTTCAAACCTTGATGCTGTTTCCCTAGGCCAGGGTGGGGAAACCTAAGGCCTAGGCACCAGATGCAACCCTTGGCTTGACTGGATCTGGACCCCAAGGCTTGGGGCTCCTCTCCCTAGCATCGAGGAGCCCACACTTGTGCTCCAGCCCTACCTCCCGTCTCCCTGCAGTGCTGGAGCACACAAAATCTACTAGCCTGGGCCCCACAAGGCTGTGGGGGTATGAGGGGAATGTGAGGAGTGTCCTCTCACTCAGGGGCCATGTCAGTGAGTGTGTTTGGGGGGAGGGGGGCAGTTCTTTTGCTTCTCACTTGTGTGCCATCCCCCATTGATTTTTCCATGGGTCAGAGGCCTCCAATCCAAAAAAGGTTCCCCACACCAGGTTATTTCCTACCTCACCTGTATCTCCCTCTTTCTCTGCCCACCTCTGCAGATACCTTTCCTTCAGAAACAGAAGACCAGGACTTCTACTCTCCCCTAACTTCCATCTTTCCATCTCTCAACTCAAATAACTGCAGACCTTCTGACCAACAGCTCTCTCATATCTTACCTCCTGATTTTACAGCAGCTTAGCTTACACCTTGTTCAGCTGGAAAGCATCATCAAATAAAAGGTTATCAGCTCCAATTGTCCTCCAGGTGCAGCCTGTCACAAGGTTAATAGAGTCTTTCTCTCTACTTTGGGGTAGGCTCCCATTGCAAAGCCCTTGACTGGAACTCTGTATTCACTGGGAGCCTGCAGAAACAGCAGAGTGTTTGTGCAGTGATCCATTCCTGTGATGTGTTGCTAATCCTGAGCAGGATGAAACATCTTGAAAAGGGTTTGCTCAGGTATTATGTGCCAGTTCCCGCTCTCAGTGATGTGGGTGCAACTCCCATAAAAACTGGACAAGATACAAGGTTCCATAATAATAATGCTTAAAGCCAGGGTATGGGAAGGCAGGACCGAACATCTCATGGAGCCTAATGACCACTGGGAGCCATTCATCCTGAGTTTACACCTGACAAAAATATGTGGGATTTATTGCAAATAAGTCTATGTTTACTCCAAAGCCTAGGCTTAATAAAAGTGTCAGGCGAGCCCTTGTGTCTGATAAATAAATGCCTCAGATGCTAGCTTCCGTTCAGGATGACAGAACAGCTGACTAGTAAGGAGCCAATATGATTTTGGCAAAAGTAGGATCTGTTGACCTAATTAGTGGATACCATTGGGCAAAAGCAGGGGTGTTCCCACATGAAGGACTTTTCTGTCTTGTGAGCTTAGGCCCTGATCCTGTTTGGGGGCAGGATCTTTGTTTGGAAGCTTGGGGAAAGGATCTTGTCTTCTTTGTACCCCTTTGTAATAAATACATGCTGTCAGATGAGGAAACTGGTGCGATGGCAAAAGCCCTAGCTGAGAAATTCATTTTTGGGTTTGGAACCCCTGGAAGTCAGGACCAGCAGTGCGGCCAATCCAAAGCATTCAGACGTCATGAGTCAGTCACATAAAAATCATGAGCTAGGTGTAAAATGATGAAGTTTTTGGTAATTAATTTGCCTTTACCACCTTCTTCCCAAGCACTTAGATTGTACTTTCCAAGCATTTGCAAAGTTTTTCTCTGTAACATGGAGGGCTAGAAACATACTTTTATTTTTACACTAGCACACTTACCTCTTTTCTATCCCCTGCTCCCCAGGAGCCCTTTTCTATTTCCCTGAACACTCTCCCTGGGCCCTTGGGAGCCATTTTCTCTCCCCCCAGATCCTCAGCCATCAGGGGAACTTTTCTCTGCCCCCAGCCACCAGGAGCCCTTTTCTCTCCTCACAGCTTCTTTGGCTGCCAGGGGCCCTTCTCTCTCTCTCCCCCATCCCTGCCAGCCACCAGGGACCCTTCTCTCTCTTCCTCTACCAGCCACCATCAGAGGCCTTTTTCCTCCCTGCCCCGGCCACCAGGATCCTTTTTCTCCCCCCTCCAACACTGTGACCAAGGACTGGGGGGATTTGGGACAATGGGGCAACTTACCAGTGTACTGGCAGGGAAGATGGTGGAGCCCTGCCCTGCTGGTCACTCCCTTGGCAGTACAGCTGCCCCCAGTGAACACTGCAGAATAACTGTTCCCTGTGGGCTCACTGCCCCAGTGGCCACTCTCATATCACATCCCTCAGAGCAGCAGCCCCTCCCTTTGCATGTTATGAAAAGCCATCCTTTTCCCTGGGCTTCCGAGTGTCCTGGCACAACCAATCCTTGACCATAATTTAAGTTAGGAGAAGAGGAAGCTGCATACCAAATTTGGTGGCCCTAGTTCTTACCGTTTAGGAGGAGTTCTTGAACAAATGGTCTTGCAGACAGACATGCAAACAGACACACACTAAAATAGATAGATGAAAGCCAAGATTCTCCCATTGTCACATGACTCCAGGAACTGGGAGTTTAATCATCATAACAAATAGTGCAAGACTGGTAATAAAACAGTGAGAACTGACAACGCTGAAGCAAGAGAGTTACTTTGATTCTGTTCTATACAATCAGGCATGTATGACTTAGTAATCAACAAACATTGAATAATCCTATGTTTTCCCCAAACTGATAGGCTGAACAGAATACTAAGTACCATGTTATCAATGCTTATACAACACAGAGTCAGGGTGAGTTACAGTCATTCATTAGCATGGCTTACAGAAAGAGCAATAGGTCTTCTATTGACTTTACTTTTTACCAAGTCACAGCTGGTTGAGAAACTATCTTGACAGCTGTAATAGTTACAGGGATACAAGCAATGCAAGCATTGAGGGTGTAGCTGACTATAATAGGCTGGTAGACAAATCTGAAATCTATTGGGAAGCTGTAACCACTCTCACCCCGCACCGACCCCTAAAACTCCTCTATAATACCATGTTAGTGTTTCTGGAAGACAAAAGTTAGATTCTGGTTTAAAAGCCTCTTTCCAGAATTATTCAGAAAGGCTATGTCTACACTCGCGGCTTCTTGCGCCAGAAATATGCAAATGAGGCTAAGCGTGGAATATCACCGAGCCTCATTTTCATACCTAATGAGCCGCCATTTTTGCAGAAGAGGCTCTTGCGCCAGAAGGAGCTGTCTACACTGCCCCTTCTTGCACAAGAAAAAACCTCTTGCACAATGCCGATTACTTTTCAGGAAGAACAGCATTGCACAAAGGTGTAGTGTAGACAGCTCCTTCTGGAGCAAGAGCCTCTTCTGCAAAAATGGCGGCTCATTAGGTATGAAAATGAGGCTCGGTGATATTCCACGCTTAGCCTCATTTGCATATTTCTGGCGCAAGAAGCCACGAGTGTAGACATAGCCAAAGTGAGCTGTGTGGATACAGGATAGTGTGAAAATGAAGGAAATAATTTTAAGGGCCACTTGCTAGTATTAAGAAGCTAAATGGCAAGTTGGAGGCAGGCCCATGTGAAAGGGGAAAATAGATGGGCCATAGAGTGCTTTAAGTTAAAGATTCTCTTATGAATACCTGAATTCCCTTTACAGAGCATTATGTGTTACAGGCCAAAAGTAAAAAAAAGTCTCTCTCAGTTTGAATGACTTTTAATTTAAAGAGATTGTCAGTAGAGCTGGGAACAAACCCAACATTTTCTGGATTTGCGGGCCTGTACTTTTACCATAAGAATGTGGAATGCAGAAAAAAAAAAGAGAGAGAGAGAGAAACATGGCACTTAATTTTTTCCCCCGAAGTGACACTGAATGCAAAACTTTACTAACCTGAATATTTTGTCACAACCTAAGAACCAAATTCAACCTTCAGTCTTTTGAGCAAAACACTCTTTGAAAGCAATGGGAAATCAGAATTTTGTCCTTGATTTTATAACCCCAATCTCCAAGATCCTCTTTAATTAAAAACATAACCCCTGTTCTAACCTCATCAGTACCCTAAAATGACCAGTATATCAGTAGCAAACAAACAGCCCTTACAAAACCTATTTTTCTCTTGCTTACGTTCTGTCATCCCTGTGTCTGACTGAAAATGCGGTAGCTGAGTTAAGCAATGAAAGATGTCAGGTGCACACAGCTCAGTACGTTACTAAAACAATGCAGTGCGGATAATCTTATTTAATTCAAAATGGGTGAAATCACCCATGCAGACAGCTAGCAAAGGCCTGTGCACCACTTAAGTCTTACTTAAACACTCAGACAGGACCTTTAGCCAGACCCTCAAAGGTATTTATGCTTTTAACTTTCACTGATTTCAATTTCCACTGACACTAATGGCAGTTAGGAGCCTAAATACCTCTCAAAATCTGGGCCTCGGCCTCTGCAAATGATTGATTAACCCCTCCGTTCACCCAATGAGACCAAGCAGGCTGGTCCAGCAGTTTGTTCACACAGCAGTTTGCTCTAGGGCTACGTCTAGATTGCAACCCTTTTACGAAAAAGGGATGCAATCTAGATGTAGCCTAGGTGTAGCATATTGTAATAACACTAGCATGATGCATACAGCAAAGCCCCAGTCTTGTCCCATCTTCTTCTAGCAGGGCATGGAGGTGTTCCTCTGCCCCCCACAAGAAGAAGTGCCTGCAGTTTCTCTCACGTAACCCCTGTTGGACAAATTGTTTTTAATGGGTCTAGGAAGGCATCATAAGCAGCTGTCCTCAAATAGCGCAGAGTCTGGAATGAGGTAGAGACCCCTGAAAAACTGTGTGAACTAAAGACATCCTGACATAAGCTGTGAAACAAATAATGTGGGAGATACAATGTGTCAGGATGTCCTTCTAGCACCCTGTGTTCGCTGTCCTGGGCAGGTACAGAAGGCAGAACAAATCCTCCGCACTCTTATGTCTTACAGGCAGATCCCAGCATTCCCTGGTAAGCTAGCTTCAGCCTGGTAGAACCTACCCTTGCTGTGTGGGAGAAATGGGGGTGGGGCAAGGGAGTAACATGATGTCATAACTAGGCCTTTATAAGGGGCTCAGCTTAACCTTTCACAGTTTGAATTCAGCTGTGGTGGAAGACTAGGAGCTAGCTGCTTGTTTTTGTTAAGTCCTAGTAACAAAGTCTTCTAGTAAAGAAGATGCAAACTCTGCATAGCAGTCAATCTGCCAGACCTTTTAAACTGAGAAAGAGTTTTGGTAATTCATCGGGGTGTTTTACATAACAAAGTTATAGCAGAGTTTGTGGAATGCATGTGTTTAATATTTGTTTTTCTTTTGCACAGCAACTAGGCTGGAAGAAGTAGCTGGAATTCGAGCAAAGTTCCCAACAAAAGTCCCGGTAAATATATCTGTTTTTTATGTTAGTATTTGAGACTTTTTTAAAGTTTAAAGTGGAGCTATTGAAGTCTGTTTTTTTTAAAAAAATCAAACCTTTTCAATTGCTTTACAAATGATCTCTTTTTACTTGTTTAAAAACAGGTAATTGTTGAACGGTATCAGAAAGAAAAATATCTTCCTCTGCTGGACAAAACAAAATTTCTTGTTCCTCAAGAGCTGACCATGACACAGTTTATAACTATCATTAGGTATGTAGCAAATCTGGGAATAGCAGTTAGCACTATATAAATGTTGCTGTGTGCTCTTAAGCTGTGGCTTGCAAGTTGTGGATGTTAATTTGAATCCTTCTCCAGTAGTCTGTGGAGGGACTCAGGTTTACTGAGTGCTGTGTGTGGGAAGTGTAGGGGGGGGGCCCTTCTCTCTGCCTGCAAGACTCTGACAAGGGCAAAACATATGATGTGTTCTCTTAAGATAGGTTTTCTTTCTAAATCTGGTCAGAGCTTCTTGTGAAATCCAGTGTCCACAGAGGAGCACAAAGTTTGTTCATGAGCTTGAGTAAACAGGGTTTTTGTCTGATTCATGTCCTGCGTGCCTCTGTGATGAGAAATTAAAGGGGAGCTGACTGGTAACCAGCACTCAAATTCCCATCCCAGCACTGCTAATGACTTGCTGTAAACCTGAATAAACCGTCAGAATTGTCTCAGGTGTGGGTTGTGCAAAGCATAATGCTTCTAAATTGCTCTGAGGTCCTTGGCCAAAAGCTCTCTAGGGAAGCAGTCCCCTACTCCTGGAATAAGTATATTCTAGAGTGTCCTTTTAAAAGAAACATTGCCTTTTAAAAAGCCTATGATGTCTATACAATACAATAGCTTCCATCAAGCACAAAGAGCATGCATGGAGGTGGATGGGCAGCCAGGCCTAACTCTGTTGGAGCTGAGCCCCTTGCAGAAGGAATGTCTCAAAGACTGCAAAGCTCTGAATAGGGCTGTAAATAAGACTGTCTTCAAACCTTTAGTTTTGCAGCATATGCAGAACAGTGCTGAAGAAACATCTGCAGTTTAAAAGTATTTAGCCACCGCAATTGAGTAAACAAAGCCCTGACTTCAGAGCTTTTCTGCTTCAAATATTTGACTTGGGAGACTTGCATAAAAGAGCCTCAGACTTTGAAAAAATATGGGTTTAAAGCTACCTACTAATGTTAACCCATATTGACTCAAAGCTCTCTGGCTCATCTTCTACAGTACGAAACGGTTTCACAACTGCAATACCTGTCATTCCATTAGTCAATGTGGATAAAACATACAATGCAAAAAAGGAAACTCCTCCAGAAGTACCTTGTATTTTAAAAATATTTTCCCCCCTGCCCCTTTCACCTAAATCCAGAAGCAGAATGGCCCTAAATGCTACACAAGCTTTCTACCTGCTGGTGAACAACAAGAGTCTGGCCAGTATGACTCTGACGCTGGCTGAAGTATACAGAGACTACAAAGATGAAGATGGCTTTGTATACATGACCTATGCTTCCCAGGAGATGTTTGGATGTTTCGTGCCCCCTCCGCAAGGGAACGTTATGGAATGCCTTCTAAGAACATAAGGGCATGTCTTGCTGCTAGGCAGCTGATGATGCTACTGACTTGAAGATCAGAAGTGATCTTTTTAGTATGGGCTCTTAAAACACTGTACTGTGGACTTGTGGCCCAGAAGTTGGCAGGACCAACTAAAGCAGAAGTGGTGGTGCTCTGTGCCTCGATTTAAAAAACTTTGGAGATAAAATATATATATTTTATATGTGGAAAAGACACTAGTTGGGTTTTTTGAACTGCACCTTGAGAATTTTTTTTTGTAATGTTAACACTTAAGTTATAACTGCTTTTTAAGGGACTTCTAAAGTCGGAGCTTAATAGTCAAATAAAGATACTTTTAAGACTAGGCTGAATGCCAATATTGGTCTGGGGGGAAGCAGATAAAAAAAATCTCTTAGGGGGGGGAAAGGCTTGGAATTTATCTGATATCATTTTAAAGAGGTGACTTGGAAGGATGTAAAGAACATGGGCACATAGCATTAAGAGAGTATTACTTTATGCTGCATGTCCATACCTGAGCCTGTATGAGTCTGTTTTTTTTATGTAAAGCATATAACATGTAAAGCATATTGTTAACACAGGTTCGTTGTCTCTTTGGAAATGCTCCTGTTGAGCCACATTAATGGCAAAGCTATTGTATAATCTAATTAAACAGGAGCACAGTAATAAAACAGTTGATTTGACCAGCATCTGAGTTCATATTTCTACACCAAATGCTGATTACCTGCCTAAAATAAGGTATTAAGCAGCCAGTGCCCTTCTTGGGTCTCCGCAGAGCACTTTTTACAGTTGTAACAGTATTTCTGGCTTGAGGTTAAGCTACACTGCTTTTTGAACTCTGCCCCAGGCTGAGTAGACAGATTGCTTTGTATCTAGCAACAGCTTAGTGAGGTCTTTTAAATGGGAGACCCATGTCAGTCTAATCTTCCTTACACCAGAGCCTAGAGGAAAGGAAAACAGAACTCTTGAGGATACATTCTGAACTAAATAAAACTCTGCTGCATACAATAGCGGTGCCTTGAAGTGGGGTAGGGCTGGAGACCCCCTGGCTACATCTAGACTGGCATGATTTTCCGTAAATGCTTTTAATAGGAAAAACTTTTCTGTTAAAGCATTTGTGGAAAAGAGCATCTAGATTGGCACGGATGCTTTTGCACAAAAGCTTTTTGTGGAAAAGCGTCCGTGCCAATCTAGACACGGTTTTGCGCAAGAAAGCCCAGATTGCCATTTTCGCCATCGGGGCTTTTTTTGCACAAAACAGTTTTTAGCTGTCTACACTGGCCCTCTTGCGCAAAAGCATTTGCGCAAGAGGGCTTTTTCCCCAGTGGGAGCAGCATAGTATTTGTGCAAGAACACGGACAATCTTACATGAGATCATCAGTGTTCTTGCGCAAATTCAAGTGGCCAGTGTCGACCGTTGGCAAGTTTTTCCGCAGAAGCAGTTGCTTTTGCAGAAAAACTTGCCAGTCTAGGCACAGCCCCTGTGTTTCCTTTTAAATGCTAAAACTAAGACCAGACCGCTCTTTTCAAAGGCAGCACTACAGAAGCCAGCTTAAAAAAAATATAGTTTAAGCCAAATCACTGGCTTGCTGAAAAGAGCAATGCCCTCTAGGGTATGTATTACCTACTCCTAGGATAGTGCTGCATTCCAGAGTCTGACATGGACTGTTCTCATTAGTCTCATAAAGGCACAGTGGAAATAGTTTCTGAGTGAGCTCCAGCAGGCAGTGGTTACAAGCCCTCTGGGAGCTAGGAAGGCACCACTTTGGCAGGCACAACACTGAGCCCTCCTGGGTGGCTGTAACGCTCTTTTAACTGGCCAGGAACAAAAGGCTGATTGACAGGACTCAAAGCTATAGTGCCTTCTAGCTTGTGTTAGAGGTGGTTGGCTCCTCTGTTTTCAACTCCCTATGTTGTGTGTGTGTGTGTGTGATAGACTGTATAGAGGGAAACACTCCAAGGATTTGGCTAGGGAGATTACATAACTTCAGCTTCCAGAGATCCAGCCAAATTGTCAGCCCTAGAAAGCTGATTATAAAAGTATGGCACTAACCTGTCTGAACCCTACAGCTCCTATGAACTGGGCAGTCACTGGGCTTTCCCTCCTGGATGTATCAAAACAAACAGGCCTAACACAAAACCAGCACTGCCTTCAAAAGCTGAGGTTTCAAAACATCCTTCAGTGAAGACCCCAGTAGGAGTGGTTTTTTCCCAGCCCAGCTGCAGGTGGCCTTGGCTTGAACATGTTATGGATGCTCCTGAACTACGGGGAGGTGGTGCCATTTAACCCAACTAGAAAAGGGGCAAACAGAGAGCCAGCTGCTGTGTTGGCCTGTGCAACTGAGATACCACAGGGCTCCTTCCAGCAGAGCTGCTGTTCAGAGAGTCAATATTTAGGTAAGATATATACAGTGAGGTGCTGCAGTATTGAAGAGCAGGGCACCAGTGCTAGAATGTACACTAGGTGAATCTGTCTGTAATGTTTCTGAGGGGGGTTATGAAAGGGAGTTCTTTGTGGGTCTCACAGGGCCCACCAGGGGCTTGACCCTAGGCATGGGAACAAACAATCTAGACATTAGTGTTGACTCTGCCGCAAATGTTGGGTTCCCTCCTGCAAGGTGCTGAACCTTTTTGGCCCCAGCCATTTAAGCATGGACCCATTCATGTGCTGCTGATATTCTTTGCTGGATTGGGGCCACAACATCTAGCCCCACTCACCGCATCTAACTGTACCTGCGCTGGTTCAAACCGTGTGCTTCGACTTCCCTATCTGTAAAATAGGGAGCACACTTACCCATCAGTTTGCAAGCACTTTGAGGCTATGTCTACACTCGCGGCTTCTTGTGCCAGAAATATGCAAATGAGGCTAAGCATGGAATATCACTGAGCCTCATTTGCATACATAATGAGCTGCCATTTTCGTAGAAGAGGCTTCTGCACTTCCCCTTCTCGCGCAACAAAAACCCTCTTGCGCAATGCCGCTACGCTGATTATTTTCAGGAATAACGACATTGCGCAAGAGGGGTTTTCTTGCACAAGAAGGGGCAGTGTAGACAGCTCCTTCTGGTGCAAGAGCCTCTTCTGCAAAAGTGGCAGCTCATTAAGTATGCAAATGAGGCTTGGCAATATTCCACACTTAGCTTCATTTTCATATTTCTGGCACAAGACGCCACGACTGTAGACATAGCCTGAGAGTCTCTGCAGAAGGCTGGAATTGCCTGTCCATAAGCCTTTTTAAGGCCCCTTGAAGTGGGGTTACATCATTAACTGTAGCATGGGTATTCTAACCTGGAAAAGCATAAAACTGCAGTGAGGGTGACTTTGCAGTTAAAGTACTAATGACTAGTGCCATTCATAGCAGACAGGGCTGTGGAAGCTCCCTAGGCCCTGTCTACACTAGGGCTTTATTTTGAAATACCCCCCCCTTAGATTGAATTTATAAACTGTGTCCACACTCCCAACCCTGTGATTTCAAAATAACAGGTCGCTTATTTTTAAATCTGCACTCCTTTTCATGAGGCATAATGCTAATTTTGAAATAGCTATTTTGAAATAGCGTTAGTGTGAATGCTCCGGTGCCGCTCTTTTGAAATAACTACGCCCCAGAGTATGTTGAACTAATTACCCCCCCCCCCCCCCAGTGCTTCCCGGGGCTCTAAGTTGGGGTAGTGCATCCATATTAATGGAGCCTGCCTCGGACTAATTTCAAGGTTTCCCCGTAGTGCGGACACATTCCCGATTCTGCAAAATCAAATAGAAATACGTCAAATTTAGTTATTTCAAAATAGTTTCCATGGCTTAGGTGAGTAACTCTTCTGGAATAATGAGCAGGAGTGAGGGATAGTGTCTGACCCTAGTTGGTGTCTAAAAGAGGCTATCTGTTGCCTTTCACCTGGTACCATCATTTGCACCTCTGCTAAGTCAATATCAAGTGCTCCCATGGTAGCCTTGTACCCAGACTTTGCACAGGAATGAATGGCTACACCGGGGTGGCCAACCTGTGGCTCCAGAGCCACATGCAGCTCTTCAGAAGTTAATATGCGGCTCCTTACATCGGTACCAAATCCAGGGCTGGAGCTTAAGGTGCCAACTTTCCACTGGGCTGGAGGGTGCTCACTGTTCAAACGCCAGCACTGCCATAGGCGCTGTCTCCTTCCACCCTTTCCCCCTAGGATCCTGCCACTTGCCACCCTCTCCACTGTCTCCCACTAAGAAAGAGCTGATCCCAGGGGGCAGGAGGAAAAGGAGAAGGAGGCGCTGAGTGGTGGGGCTGCCAGTGGGCGGGATGTACTGAGAGCGGTGGTGGGGAGATAATCAGGGCTAGTAACATAGAACTGTTGCTCTTTGGCAATGTGCATTGGCAAATTCTGGCTCCTTCTCAGGTGTAGGTTAGCCACCCCTGGGGTATGCTAAGGGCACAACAGCAGAGAATCAGACCCTGATGTATTTTTCTTTCAGCAGCTGGATCCTGCCATTGCAGCACATGAGTAACTCCTAGGGTCAGGATTGCCAGGTGTCCCGTTTTGAACTGGACAGTCCAGTATTTGAGCTTTCTGTTTGGGAAACAAATTGAGAAAATATCAATGAGAAAATATAAGTGTCCGGTATTTTCTAAATCAGATGGAGCGTAGATTGTGATGTAATGTCAAGTGTGTCCAGTATTTTTGTTGAAACCATCTGGCAACCCTACCTAGGTGGGGACCTACCACTAGGCAAACAAGATCATCAAAATCTTTCATGTGCATCCTTTAAGAAAAGTAAGACCTTTATGCAGTCAACATGTGGCCTTCAGAAACAGGAAAGTTTCATGCTTGGTGTGTGCTGGCTGCTTAGCAGGACAGTCTGAGGCAGAGAGTGGTTGGTCATCTTTTCTGGGGGTGGGGTGGGGTAGCTTCCCTACCCCATCTTGATATATTATTTGAATTGATAGAAGCACCTTCTCTTGTGTGGCCAACTTGCACATATTAAGAGGCGGGGCATCTCATGTCATGATAGACATTAGGAAGAAACCCTTCCCTGATAAGATCACTGCGCAGACAGAGAGTTTGCTACCTAAATAGGAGGCATTGAGTCATTTCTGTAAGTCCACCAAGGTGGGGTTGGGGGAGAGGGCACTGTTGAAGGAGGAAGTAAGTGTCTACAATTCTCCTATGATTTGGTTATACATACCAAAAGCACAGTCATGCTATTTTCAGGCAGAAGGACAATGACTAGGAAACAACTCAAGATAGAACAAAAGTCACATCTCAAAAAGAGCATCTATCCTTTGACACAAACATAAATTTAGAAGGATTAAATTATAAGAGGTGTTGATTCTACTGTACAGACACAACATGATTAAATAAATATTTCCCTTCATAATAATTGAAATTTACAGAGAGACAAAAAGAAAACTGCAGAGAGCTTATTAGAGTTTGATTTAAGTTCATTTGTTGTATATTTTGACATGTGATATTGGCAGTTTGTGTTTTAATAGTGATAAAACTTTATATTTTTGAACCTCAACATCTGTCCTTAGCTT